TTTTTTTTCAAGTATGTGGAAAATCAGGCCATCAGTTAACAATCCTAATAGTAAGTGGTATAGCAAAAAAGGAGGATATTTTTTAAATGAGTGTATATTTTTAAACATTACAATTCTCTTCTAGCCTAGAATCATGTGTTATAAATAGTCAACCTTAGCTAGGTGGTGGTGGCACACGCCTCTAATCCCAGCACTCAGGAGGCAGAGCCAGGCGGATCTCTGTGAGTTTGAGGCCAGCCTGGGCTACAGAGTGAGTTCCAGAAAAGGCATCAAAACTACACGGAGAAACCGTCTCAAAAAAAGAAAAGAAAAAGTCAACCTTATGAGAAATCTATTGACATCTAGTATTAAACATACAATATTCAACAATTGTAATTTAATGATGTAGTTAAAGCACAGCCTGTGTGGCTAATAATTTAGTACATATATATATAATGAATTAATGGACTTGGGCCTTACAAAAGGTTTTTTATCGGATTTTTTTGTTGTTTGGGTTTTTGTTTTTTCCATGATCACCTTACCAGGCCAATATTTTTCCACTACTGATGAGGAAACTAAAAATACTGACTAACTGTCTCAGGTCTAATTTTATTTATCTGTTTATTTTAATGCAAGGCTTTAGGCTAGAGAGATGGCTCATTAGTTAAAAGAACACTACTAGTCTTCCAGAGAATCCAAGTTTGGTTCACAGAGTCCACATCAAAGGTTCACAAGTTCCTGTAACTCTAGTCCTGGGAGAACCCAAAACCTCTGACCTCTGCTGGTTCCCACACAGATGTGTGTGCATACACATAATTAAAATAAATCTTTTTTTAAAAAGAAAAGGTGGGGGTTTTGATCCCAAGTAGCTGACAACCTGATCTATGTACGCATATATCTTAACAAAAAAATCATCAATTTTAGTGCCTAGATTTTTCATTTGTAAAGGATGCCTGTAATACGAATTGCTAAATGGTCTTATAAATGAAATAACCAGAGACAGGTATTGGGGTGAATGCTGAAAGATCAGAGAAGTAGAACAAGCCACATCCAACCTCACCTTGCCAATTTCTCAGCTGATCTTGTTTCCTCAGACTGAAAGCCTCTGAGTCCTCATCTGAATGGATCTCAGCTCAACTGCTGCTAAATGCTAAAAGCTCAAAAAGCTTAGTTAGCCAGGCTCTAGTTCCTGGTTCTCACGCCTTAAATACCTTTCTGCCTCCTGCCATCACTTCCTGGGATTAAAGGCGTGTGTCACCACGCCTGGCTATTTCCAGTGTGGCTTTGAACTCACAGAGATCCAGATGGATCTCTGCCTCCTGAATGCTAGGATTAAAGGTGTGAGTGCCACCATTTTCTGGCCTCTATGTCTGTCTAGCGGCTGTTCTGTCCTCTGACCCCAGATAAGTTTATTAAGGTGCACGAATTATTGGGGAACACAATATCACCACAGATGCCTATCTCTAGATGCTCTAAAATAATGCAGTCAGGGGTTGCCATTACCATTATGCTATCTCAGAGACTAATACATTTAATGTCATGTTCAGACAGTCTTTAAGAGAAAACCGCAGGCAGAGGCCTAAGCAACAGGAATCAGTGGGAGGGGACCGAAGATGTGAGCAGGCTTCAAACCACAGTTGGAAAATCACTAATTTCACCCAAATCCCTCATTTTTCAGGTGAGGAAACTGCAGCCCAGAGGGGTTTCTTGAACTGTCCAAGGACACACCACTCACTATTTAGAGACACAAGCTGGGACTAACACTGAGGTCCCCTGACTCCTGGTCCAGAATCCTTTCTACTATACAACGAGGAAACCCAAATAAAAGTGGATCCTAATTAACTCACCAGACCTCCACAGGTGTCCAACACAGTCAACCCTGGTGTCAACTATCTGCCTATGCCCACCCAGTGTAGCAGAAGAGCAGAGGTCTGGAGTTCAGACACAGGCTCTGAGGCTTATCACGTGACCCTGGGCAACTCATGCCACCTCACCTCTCTTTCTCAGTTCCTCTACCATGGAAACTTAAAATACTCCTCTCCTAGGGTTCGGGCGGAGGTGACTGAGCAAGGCCTGATGCTTACAGAGTACTCCTTAGCTCACGGGACACACGATAATGAACATAAGCAAGGGCACAGCTCTTTAAAAACACTGCAGGGCTTTGAACATCAAGCAAGCTCAAAGAGGGAAGCTTATGACTGTGACAGTCTTTTCAAGGCTAAGCTAGTGGGACCACATAAGACACACTGGGCTCAGTGGCATTGCCTTCGACATTTAAAATGGCAAACAGAACAGATCACCCCCTTTGGTTTACATGAATTCAGTTAACACAATAATGCAATGGCTACAATCTTTCTGGTAATGTAAGTGAACTATAAGCAAAATCACTGACATTCGAATACATGAAAAGCAGATGTCTGATTGATTTACTATCTGACCTCACCAAAAAATAACGTTTTCAACAGGAATGCTCGATCTCCTATTTTACTGTACCGGCATATTTATAGCCCCTTACACCAAAAGACTTTTTTTTTCTTCCCCAAAGAGGGCCAACAATCCCATTACCCGCGATTTCTATACAAAGTAAAACATTTAGATTGCCAGTGGCTAAAGAGACCAAGTCACTCTCTGGCCTTATTCCAGTGAGACAGCATGGACTTTGTCACTGTTTTCAGCAAGTGCATTCTGGAGACTGCAAAATAGCTAATCATTCCAAGATTATGTTAAGAATTCTGACAGGCTTAAAAAGTGTGGCCATGTTAGCACAGTCCAAACTGGAACACTTCTGACAGTCTCAAAGGGGCTCTGGTAGAAAGTGTGCTGGGACACGACTGTCCCAGAAAAGTTAAGATCGTCTGTCTACTTAAGACCAGCTCAGTCTGATTTGCATGTCACGAACTAGTCTCTGCCTATGATGTAACTCGAAAGCTTTAAGCTGTCATTCCAGAACCAACGATTATCTTCAGCCTTGAGGCCAAGGGCAACATTTTACAAATATCAGGCAGGAGTTCAGGGCAGTATCTACCATGACAGTTTTGTTTTGGTTTTGTTCTTAGGGTTCATTTTCAAGGCCTGGGTGCACAGCCTGGCGGCAGAGCATCCACTTAGTAAGTGGGAGGACCGGAGTTCAATCCCAGGACAAAAAGAAAGGAAGGGGGGGGAGGAGGGAGGGAGAGAGGGGGGACTTTATTTTCAAGATTTACAAACAGTCAAAAAACAGTTGGGCATATTTCAAAGAAAGTAATCGCATGACATATTCATCACCAAATTTCACTTTTCTCTTCAGAAGTTTGAATATATATATGGATACTAATGACTTCTAAAATTGCTCAAAGGGTACTACTATAATTTATTAAACTACTTTATTATAAGAAAGTTAAAAGGGAAGCACCACCTTTCAAATGGGGAAGAAAAAACCCTCAGCAATAAAGAGTTGAAAGTGTTCACTAAGAACAAACCAAGTGATACAAGACAGTGGAAAGCCAGAGCTGGCTAAAGAAAACTCCAGTTAGTGTTGTTCTCTTCCCAATGAAATCTGGCATTAGCTTTAGAACCAAGGAGTCAAAAGAGTGTTTTGTGAGTTCGAGGCCAGCCTGGTCTACAAAGCGAGTTCCAGGAAAGGTGCAAAGCTACACAGAGAAACCCTGTCTCAGAAAACCAAAAAAAAAAAAAAAGAGTGTTTTGGTTTAATTTGCCAAGCTGTAAATAAATACTAACAGACTTACGCTTTGAATGAAAGGCATTATTTTGGATATAATTATGATTCCTTACAACATAAATATTCCAAGAGCTGGCCTCTCTGATTCAAAAGTCAACCAAATCAAAAAACTGTAACAGCTCTCAAATTTTCAGACCTGTGGGATCCCATGCAACAACCACCATGCCTGTAGATGGCTACTTAAATTGTAACTAATTTGCTAACCGATTAAAAATTCAGCTCATCAGTGGCACCTGCCACATTTCCAGTGCTCAAGAGCCACATAAACCTGATGGCCCCCTACCATATTGGTAGCCTACAGTGTTATTTCCAGCTTGGCAGAAAGTTCTATTGGGCAGCACAGTTTTCAAGACAGACACGATGTACTTAAACACCTTCGGGGGGTGGAGGATTGGGAGGCACGACTGTAATAGCATGATTAATTACGTTCCGGTTTTGCCAAGTATTACCAAGAAACTGTCCCTTAGTAGTCAAATTCCACCTCTCTGGAACACACAGAAATTCAACCAGTTGTTTCTTCAAGTAAATCTTTTAGCCGTGATCTGCTCTTCGCAAATACTTGCTCAAAGGTTACTACTAAAACCAGATAAACATGTACTCGTTTCTTGGTGAGTTTCTACTAACTGCAGGGACATGATGCTAATTTATCCGGGTGTACAATAACAATACTGCTTCCGGGATCCTATCTGCATGTCAGATATATTCCACTATCCCTATAACTCCACTATCATTTGTCACACCAACTGTTCTGACTTTCCAAAGAGAAGGCGGGATGACGATTTTCTTTAACATGGAGCTAACTCATAGGTAATCAATTACTCTCTGCTGGCGTTGACGTAAGCTTTAAGCACCCAAGCATTCTCCCGCAAACCTGAGTTTTGACCCAGGCTGTGATGATCCCCATCTACACCCCACAACACCAGCTAAATGATTTCCCAGGGGTCCCAGAGGCGGGCGGTGTCAGCAGCATCGCTGGGTCCCCGGTCCCTCCCGCTGCTGCGCGCTGCACTCTTGCACTCATGCTAACTAACTTCCACGAAGTCGAGCTTTCCTTTCTGAAGGACCCCCCCTTCCTCCCCAACGCCACCTGGGCAACACGCAAAAGGTGCCTCTCCGCCCAGCCCCGAGGCTCCCCTCGCCCCACGCCCACCGACGACGGGGAGGAGCCAGGGCGCACCCCACACTCGGGCGGCCTGCACCCGGCTGGGCCCGCAGCCCCGGGTCTGACCTCGGGGTGCCACGTCCCTCCCTGGCGTCCCCAGGACCTCGCCCCACTCCCCGCCGCCCCCACGCGCCCCACAACCTCTGCTTAAGGACACGTGGAGGCACGTCTGCGCGTCCCGCGTGGAGAATGAGAGGGGACAGAGATGGCGCGCGCTGGCGGCGGCGGCGGCGGCGGCCCCGGGACACGATGGGCACGGGGGGCGGGGAATGAGGGGGGGGGGACAGAGAGTGTAGACAGGGAAAAAAAGGTGACTGGGCTAGGCCGAAGGGGTGGGGGTGGGGGCGCAAGATGGCGAGAGCGCCACTGTGAGGGGCGGGGGCGGCGGGGGCTGCGGGAACCAGACGGACGCGCCAACCCGGGCGCATGCGCACCGGCTCGGTGGCGCGCGCGCGGCCGCCGTGCTGCTCCGGCTACTTCCGCCACACTCCGGGGGCGGGGCGTCGCGCTCCGGCCCAGGCGGGTGGATCGAGCGGCTCGCAACCTCGCGTCAGGGTCTCAGAGCTGGACTTGCCTTGTGGCGTGTGAGGGGTCGGGCTGAGGAACCCGGTGTGCCCTGGGCAGACGCTGCAGGCTGCAGGAGTGAGCCTGTGGAGCTATGTTTTTTTGTTTGTTTGTTTTTCGAGACAGGGTTTCTCTGTGTAGTTTTGGTGCCTGTCCTGGATCTCGGTCTGTAGACCAGGCTGGCCTCGAACTCACAGAGATCCACCTGCCTCTGCCTCCCGAGTGCTGGGATTAAAGGCGTGCACCGCCACCACCCAGCATCTATGTTTTTTTTTAAGGAGTCAGTGACCTGCTCTGGAAGTTTGTCCTTGCTTCTCTTCAGGGGTCGGGGTGATCAGAATCTTACCCTGATTGTTTTGATGGACTCGGCGGGTTCTGGGACCTTGAAACACCTGTTTCTCCAGCCACCCACTACCGGCCCTTGTTCACAATCAAAAGCCTCTGACAACTCATCTGCCAAGCCCACCCCCGATCTTTTCTACTAAGTTCAATTACTTAAAGAGCTTGCTTTTGTTGTTGATAACTACCACTATTTGGGAGGCTTTATAAACAAGCCTTGGTGGTTTTTCCTAAGGATTTTGGCCTGTTGCTCATTTTGCAGTCCTGCGTCACCGGTATTGAATTGTATGTGTGACCTCCTCTCGCGTTCGATGGTTGCGGACGTAGTTCTTTAATACAGTGATGTCAGATGTCACAGTGCATGTGACATGTTGTTTATATTTTTAACATTTTTTTCAGCTGTTTAAGAAAGAAAACATTATTAATAAATGTCCAAGTCTTCACCTTTTGCAAGTCTTTTCAAGCACTACTGCTTCCGTTAATGTCTTGGTTATGGATGTATGTGTTATGAAATAATCCTATTTGCTTAGCGTCTTCAAAACAGCCGTCCGTTTGATTATCTCCTCTCTGGATTGGAGTCGTCTTGTGTTTAGTCCTGTCTAATTGCCAGACACTTCGGTATTCAGCAAATACACTTCCAAGAGGAGTATATTTAGGATATGAAGACTCAGCATGGAGTATAAATCCAGGCTTACTTGTCCTAGGCAGAGTGTACAGTATATGGGAAAGTAGCCAAAATTGTCATTACTACTTTTAAAAAATAAGATTAGGCTGTATACAATAGGTGAAAAGACTTTTAGTACATGACCAAGAAAATAAGAGAGAGGGCCAGGTGTGGAATTGGAGAAGTCAAGGTCAGCCTTGATTACATAGTGATTTTTTAAGACCAACCTGAGCTACATCAGAACTATCTTTTTGTTTGTTTGTTTGTTTGTTTGTTTTCGAGACAGGGTTTCTCTGTGTAGCTTTGTGCCTGTCCTGGATCTCGCTCTGTAGACCAGACTGGCCTCGAACTCAACAGAGATCCACCTGGCTCTGCCTCCCCATTAAAGGCGTGCGACACCACCGCCCGGCTCAGAATTATCTTTTAAAAATAAAAAGCTGCTGTGAGAACAGGAGACAGATTATCCAAAGAAATAAAACTGTAGGTGGGTCATTTTCATTAAAAAAAAATTCTCGATTCATGCCCAGGCATTTCCCCTCCAAAGAAAAAGACCAGGTTTGACTTGTAAACAAATTCTGTCAAAAGAAATTTGGGATAGATCTGTGGTGCCTATCAGGTTACCAGAGGTCACACTGGCCCCCAGGCTCCCTCAGTCTCATAGGTACCTGTGGCTCTCCTCAGCTCTTCTCATCCAGCCCTTACCCTAAACTTCTCCAGCTCATGGATTCCCCCCCACCCCAGCTTCCACTCCTTCATAACCCTGTTTCAGCTGTGTGCCCTCCTGGTTCCTCCCTCTTGTGCTCTCCTGATCACCTCCCTCTTGTGCCCTCCAGGTCACCTCCCTCTTGTGCCCTCCTGGTTCCTCCCTCTTGTGCCCTCCTGGTCACCTCCCTCTTGTGCCCTCCTGGTTCCTCCCTCTTGTGCCCTCCTGGTTCCTCCCTCTTGTGCCCTCCTGGTCACCTCCCTCTTGTGCTCTCCTGGTCCCCTCTCTCTTGTGC